GTCAGGATTGAACTCCTGGCAGTGAGCAGTGACTGCATTCTAACCACTGTGCCACCAGACCTCTAGAGACAGGCAATTAAGCAAGATCCAAAAGATTTACTTCCTGCCTACTATACCATCGTTTTTAATCTCTAATGCAGAGGTCCCCAACTTTTTGGGCACCAGGAATGGGTGCCATGAAGAAAGTTTTTTTCCATGGACTGGACAGTGTGTGGTTTTATGTGCTGCCTGCATCCCATGGATAGGGCTTTGCTTGTTTGTGTGGACCAGTTGATGGCGTGCCGTGACCCGGTACCGGTCCATGGACTGGGTGTTGTGGACCCTGCTCTAATGCTAAAACAATAATCACCAGAAGCTTGCAACTAGAAGAGAAGAAAGAGAAGTTTTATGTTTCTTCCTGAGATCATTCTGAAATATTCTATAGTGGATCTAGAATCATAAGCAATTGTCTTACTTTCTTGTTGATGATTGAAAGAAGGTGCAAACCAGTCCAACTTTTTAACCCAAAGAATGCACAGCAACCATGTAGGGCTTTTCTCCCTCTTTCTATATGTATTCTAACCCAGGGGTCTCCAACCCCAGTCTGTGGACCAGTACCAGGCTGTGGCATGCCAGCAACCGGTCCGCACAAACAAGCAAAGCCTCATCCACAGGATGCAAGCAGCACACCAAACCATGCACCCTCCGGTCCGTGGAAAAACCTGTCTCCACGGAACTGGTCCCTGGTTCCCAAAAGGTTGGGGACCTCTGCTCTAACCTATAAAACAGTGGTTCTCAACCTGTGGGTCGGGACCCAATTTGGGGTTGAACGACCATTTCATGGGGGTCACCAAACAACGCAGTCCGCCATTTTTTCCCCTTTTCCTTAGCTGTGCTACTCCCCTTTATTCTATTGGCTTTTGAAAGCCAATAGAATAGACTCTCTTGAATAGAGTCTAATTCTATTGGCTTTCAAAAGCCAATAGGAATTGTCCAGGCTGTCTCTGCCCTGCTGAGCCCGCCAAAAATCCCATTCTGCAAACGGTGCTGCACCAGTTGAGTAGTCCTCGACTTACAACCGGTTGAGTAGTCCTCGACTTACGACCGGTTGGGGGTCGCGGCATTAAAAAGGTTGAGAACCATTGCTCTAAAACAACATATGAGGCTTCAACTTGTGCTTGAAATAATTTTTCAAGGTGGAGATTGGAAAATATGTTTAATTACACTTAGTCAAGGTAAGTTGTGAATGCTGCTTTGATCTTCGGGATGGCTCTAAGGATTACAATTAGATTTATGCATTTGCATAATAAACATAATGTTGTGAAGGAAAGCAATTTGTGTGTGCGAGAGATAATTGCATTTGTGTGAGTTGCCTTGGGGGCAACCCTTATTAGATTGAGCTCAGCACCAGCTATTCCACTGCCGAAGTCGTTTGCATTTTTATGTAGCTGTGCAACAGGATTTAGATTTTATGCACAATTAGGCATGTATTGATGTATAGTTTGTATGTAGGCTTGGGCAATAAAAAGAGTGTGGCTCTCCAGAGTAGATTTTTGCTTCAAATGGGAGAAGAAGATTGTACGAGCGATTCAGGCTGGTGGATTCAACCTTCCAGAAGAGGATTCAGTGGGGTAATTATATTGTTCTTTTGGCTGCGATCCAACAACTGGCAGCTCAGTATTCGGCAATGCTTAACCTACTGTTCCCTTAAAATATAGAGATGTAGTAATTTAGCACAACCTTTTGATTGTCCTCCAGTTCTATCTGGCTCCAGTGTTTGCCTTTTCAGCCCAGGGGAAGTTGATATTGAATTGTTAAGCTTAAGATGGCATTCCACCATTGCACATTTCATATGCTATTGTTATTATATAATGTTTAACCTAGTGATTGGTTTCATGGAACATGCCAAAACCAGCATTAACAAAACACAATGGCTGTGGCCATATAACATTATATTTGTTTGTTTGGTTGGTTGGTTTTTTTGTGTATTTATTTTTCTTAAATTTATATGCTACTATCTCACTCGGCTCAGATCATGAGCTTCTCGTTGCAAAATTTAGGCTTAAATTGAAAAAAGTAGGGAAAAGCACTAGGCCACTCAGGTATGAACTAAATCATATTCCTGATGAATATACAGTAGAGGTGACAAATAGATTTTGTCTGGGAAAGGAACTGGATCTGATAGACAGAGTGCCTGAAGAACTATGGATGGAAGTTCGCAACATTGTACAAGAGGTAGCAACTAAAACCATCCCAAAGAAAAAGAAATGCAAGAAAGCAAAATGGCTGTCTGAGGAAGCTTTGCAAATAGCTGAGGAAAGAAGGGAAGCGAAAGGCAAAGGAGAAAGAGAAAGATACACCCAATTGAATGCAGAATTCCAGAGAGTAGCTAGAAGAGATAAGAATGCCTTCTTAAATGAACAGTGCAAAGAAATAGAAGAAAACAACAGAATAGGGAGGACCAGAGATCTCTTCAAGAAAATTGGAGATATGAAGGGAACGTTTCATGCAAAGATGGGCATGATAAAGGACCAAAATGGCAAAGACCTAACAGAGGCAGAAGAGATTAAGAAGAGATGGCAAAACTACACAGAAGAACTATACAAGAATGAGCTTAACATCCCAGATAACCACAATGAGATGGTCACTGACCTCGAACCAGACATCCTAGAATGTGAAGTGAAATGGGCCTTAGAAAATCTGAGCAACAACAAAGCTAGTGGAGGTGACAGTATTCCAGCTGAGCTATTCAAAATCTTAAAAGACGATGCAGTAAAAGTGCTACACTCAATTTGCCAGCAAATTTGGAAAACTCAACAGTGGCCACAGGATTGGAAAAGGTCAGTTTACATTCCAATTCCAAAGAAAGGCAATGCCAAAGAATGTTCAAACTATCGCACCATTGCACTCATTTCACATGCTAGTAAAGTTATGCTTAAAATCCTACAAGCTAGACTCCAGCAGTATGTGGATCGAGAACTACCAGAAGTACAGGCAGGATTTCGAAGAGGCAGAGGAACTAGAGATCAAATTGCCAACATACGCTGGATCATGGAGAAAGCTAGGGAGTTCCAGAAAAACATCTACTTCTGCTTCATTGACTATGCAAAAGCCTTTGATTGTGTGGATCACAACAAATTGTGGCAAGTCCTTAAAGAGATGGGAGTACCAGACCATCTCATTTGTCTCTTGAGAAACCTATATGTGGGTCAAGAAGCAACAGTGAGAACCGAACACGGAACCACTGATTGGTTCAAAATTGGAAAAGGAGTCCGGCAAGGCTGTATACTGTCGCCCTGCCTATTTAACTTATATGCAGAGCACATCATGAGAAAGGCAGGGCTAGATGAATCAAAAGTTGGAATTAAGATTGTCGGGAGAAATATCAACAACCTAAGATATGCAGATGATACCACTCTAATGGCAGAAAGTGAAGAGGAACTAAAGAGCCTCTTGATGCGGGTGAAGAAGGAGAGTGCAAAAGTTGGCTTGAAACTCAACATTAAGAAAACCAAAATCATGGCATCCGGCCCTCTCAATTCCTGGCAAATAGATGGGGAAGAAATGGAGGTAGTGACAGATTTTATTTTTCTGGGCTCCAAGATCACCTCAGATGGGGACTGCAGCCAAGAAATTAAAAGACGCTTGCTCCTGGGGAGGAAAGCTATGGCAAATCTAGGCAGCATTCTAAAAAGCAGAGACATCACCCTGCCAACAAAAGTGCGTATAGTCCAGGCCATGGTTTTCCCAGTTGCAATGTATGGCTGTGAAAGTTGGACCATAAGAAAGGCTGAGCGCCAAAGAATTGAGGCCTTTGAACTATGGTGCTGGAGAAGACTCCTGCGAGTCCTTTGGACTGCAAGGCGTTCAAACCGGTCAGTCCTAGAAGAGATCAACCCCGACTGCTCCTTAGAAGGCCAGATCCTGAAGTTGAAACTCAAGTACTTTGGCCACCTAATGAGAAGGAAGGATTCATTGGAGAAGAGCCTAATGCTGGGAAAGATTGAGGGCAATAGAAGAAGGGGACGACAGAGAATGAGATGGCTGGATGGAGTCACTGAAGCAGTAGGTGTGAATTTAAATGGACTCCAGAAGATGGTAGAGGACAGGAAGACCTGGAGGAACGTTGTCCATGGGGTCGCGATGGGTCGGACACGACTTCGCAATTAACAACAACAATCTCACTCTGCAAAGCGACTGTGTATGGATATGCCCATATGAATAAACCAAAATATATTTGAATGTGCCAAAACATACGATATGATGGATTAGTGTAATAAATACATTCATACAGATAATATAATTCTGATATATAATATAATATAGTCTAAGGTATTTTAAGAGAATGATTGGGTTTCCACAAACACTGAGTCACAAACTGAGAATCCAGCCTATAATTTTTGTACTATTAAGGTAAATAAAATCCATATTGTACAGTGTCAGTATTGGATAATGAAAATAGTTTTTCAAGTATTTTTCTTTTCCTCTCCAATCCTATATAATTTAGATTCTTTTTTTATGAGCAGATTGCAACAGGCAATAATAACATCCCATTTTCTAGATGTTAATCTAGAACCAATTAAAAGACTCTCGATCTATCATTTCTTGAAAACGGTGGCAGGATTTGTTTTAATCTACTTCATTGTTCCAGTAGTCAGCTTTTCTTAAGTTTTTCCTGTTGATTATAACCATTAGATTTTCAAAATAGGCAAGTAAGTAATTTCAGAAGCAAAGATACAGATTAGAAAATCCTCTTTGTATCATTTTGCTTGAGAATTTACTTATTTTTAAATGCTTGGTTATTTATGAAAAAAATGCAAGCTACTGAGAGGGGTCACCCAAAGCAGTGGTTTTGTTTTAGTGCAGTATGTGAATCCAATCTATCATTTTATATATTTTAAATAAAAAACAGTTTTAAAATAAAAATTTGAATATTTATTGCAAAAGCAAATAATTCTTTACATAAAACCCTTGAAATACCACTCCAGCTGATGGGGTCCAAGACAAGAATCTTCTCCACCATGGCCCTGGCCCTTGGGAACATCTTGCCCTCTGAGGTGAGATTACGTCCCGCCCTCCTGACCTTCTTCAAGTCAGGTTCTGTCAGTTGGCCTGGGGACCAGAGAGGGAAGTATCACACTGGGGATGACCTATTGACTATTAGCACCTCCCACCTCATCCCTTACCTCCCACCTCCCTATCTTTATTTATAATTTGTAATTTATTGTAATTTTGTGTGTGTTTATATATTTATTCATATATTTATGGTTTCATTTTAATATTGTAAGATGCCCAGAATCACCCTGTGGCACGATGGATGGCAAACAAATGTAATAAATAAATAATTTCCCTAAGTACATTAAACTTGTAGACCAGTGTTTCTCAACCTTGACAATTTTAAGGCATGTGGACTTCAACTCCCAGAATTCCACAGCCAGCTGTGGAATTCTGGGAGTTGGAGTCCACATGCCTTAAAATTGTCAAGGTTGAGAAACACTGTTGTAGACCAATATTAATTTACCTGGGATTAATATGTATGTGTGTGGGTGTATACCTGGACTTTTTCAATGTAAAAGTGGTGTGCTGTTCCTTCTTTAGGATTTCAACTTTCCATTCAGTCAAAACCTTAGATATTTCAATTTCAGTTAATGTTATCATACATTAGAGAAAGGTAGACAGACAGCAGGCAAACAGATTGAAAGGACACTTGTACGTTGTTGAGGTCACTGCCACTAGACAGGTCTTTGAAAGTTTTCTTTTAGCCTTTTTTCTGTTCTGCAGTAGAACATTTACTGTACAAGAAGTAGTTATAATTGTTTTCTTTTGTAAAAGGCACTACAGTCCATTACTTCAATAAAGTGAACTCCAGCAGCCCAGCAAGCTCAAACAGAAGAGAAAATGCATCTGTTTTTGTGTTTCTGAAAATGTCTTTGCATTATTCTACTAGTTGCTGAATGCCATCAAGAATAAATAACACTAAAAATCAGACTTTGGTATTAAGGCTAAGCAACCATTATTTTTAAGGATTTTTTTAAAGAAAAAGTACAGTTACTCACTACTGATAGTCCTCCTCACTGACTGCTCCTTCAGCAACCATACAAAATTACAGTGGCACTGAAAAATAAGACTTAAGACTAATCCTCAAAGTTGCAGCTGTAGCAGTGTCTCTATGGTCACATGGTTGTGATTCAGATTGTTAGCAATTGGCTCACATTTACAACAATCTCAGCATCCCCACAGTCACATGATGGCCAAACTTCACAGCTGGTTTCTGATAAGCAAAGTCAATGGAGATACCTGCAGGAAGTTGGAAGTCACAGTCATGTGATGTTATGCTTAATCACCTGCAGTGATTCATTTAATGGCCACAGTGGGAACTGATACTGCAAGTTGGCGAGGTCAGTTGATGTTGCATTTCATGACCGTGTTGCTTAGTGACAGAACTGCTAGTCCCTACTGCAGTTGGTAAGTGAGGACTACCTGTATATGCATGAAAATATGGTTACATGACTTCTCTAAGCAAGAGTTTATACAACCAATAAATAATCAAAGTATAGGTATTGAACACCAACTGCTGTTACTTGTCAAACATCTGAGAAATATTCCTCACACACACGTGTGTTCCCTTGGCTAAGGTTGATTGGGGCTGTGTAAAAGAAATTCCTATTTTTTATGAATGTCAGTATATACAGTTTAACAAATTCAGCATTCAACTTTCTGAAGGACAAGAAATAAAATGGAAGCTTTTAATAGGAGATATAAACTTTTCACTTTAATAAGAGATATAAACTTCCATTTAGCTTGGACATTTCTAAACCCAGTTAAAATTAAGATCTGTTTAAATGTGACCTTATCCATTTATCTTCCTTATACTACCTAATGTTAATAGCTTAAAATGGAAGATAATAAGTGCTAACTGGATCTAAGTAATGATTTCCCAAGTATGATTATAAATCAAGACAAGTGGAAATTGACATGGCCTCATTGAAAGGAGAACTTATGTTAAATAATTCATAATGGTATTAATTATTTGCTAAGGGAATCTCATGATGGGCCATGATGACACCTCTTTTATGCACACATTTTTATACCTCCAGTCTCTAGTGCTATTCCTCTCGTACAGTTTTGGCAATTCTTGTAAAACTCAAGGATTTTTGAGAAGCAAAGTCAGAACTTATCTATGAATAATTTTCCAAACCAGAATGGCTTTGAGTTCTTATTAAAAAAAAAAAAGGAAGATTTGCAAGAGAGAGGTTCCCAAACATGAAATTCCCTCTTAGGAAATTTAATGCCCATTTTATACCCCTTAATTATGTATCTTTGGCTCCTGCTTTCCACTCATACAGTGACTATCCTTATGCATAAATGATACAGCTTAAGTATCTGATCCGTGTACTTCAGAAATCATAGAATTTATCAGGGGTTAAACTGTATTATTAGATATGTCCTTGCATAATTTAATCCCTGCCACTTTTCATCTGACTAAAAGGGTGAATTGTCTTCTTAAATGGCATTACCATCTGAATTACAACATCTTAAAAAACTTATATAAAGGTGTTCTGATGATTCTCCATATGTATCCACAGCAAGCAACAGTGGCACCAACATTAGAAAATATGGTTTTTAACAACACAGTACAAGTTCTACCCTTTCATAGTTATTTTCTGAGGTTGCATGCAAATAGATAAGGGATGGAGTTTGCCTCACAATGTTGTGTGGCATATTTTGCTACTTGCCTCTTTCCATACTAGGATAAAACTATACAAGAACACTCTTCATGTCTTCTTTTCCTGGGGAAAAATAGACTTTTTTTTTCTATCTAGAATAATTGTTGTCTGGATTGAAAAGATGATGGAAAACCCAACTGTATAGAGTTATAATAGTTTAAGTTTAAGAGCTATTAGACTACTTTTATCCTACAGCTTTTTGAAATCAATGAAAATAACACAAATGAATCATTCTGTAGTTTAGACATTTGTGGAGTTGATTTAATCTCTTGATCCAGTAGGATAAAACACTAACAGTCTCTAGTGGGCTATTATCTCACTCATCAGCAGCAGCTGAAATGATGAAAAGAGATTCATAGCATCATGGACTTAGAAGCAGCCTCAAGGGGAGTCAGATTAAGTCACCAGTCCTCAGATGTGAAGTTAATGCTGTATGTTTAGCCCATGGTTAGCAACTCTAACTTTATGGAATATATTTAAAATGGTCATAGACATGCACAATATTGAGTACATGCAGAGTTTTAGCTTGCTTGTATAATTTGCTTTGCTCGTAATGATCCTGCATGGTGAGGTCAATGCTGAACTGACCATGTATGTAATTGGCAATTCAGAATTTCTGTGGCTAAAGATACCATCCTAAAACCTACATTCATGGGATTCATGATCTCAACCTCTGTTGCTAATTTTCTTTGATTGACTCAGCAGATCAGTTATTTATACTCAGTTATTTTGTTTTGCTTTGATATGGGATAACCTTCATTTAAAGGATTTCAAACAGGATTGGATATACCCCCACTAAATGAGTCATTGGAATATACAATATTAATATTATTGCAATCAGTTCCACTTGTGATCTTCTCATAATTATCTGGTTGGCCACTGGCCACAGTACTTTGGGGCAGATCAAATAGGGTACTTCTAATCTTTTCAGAATAATCTGGTAGTTGTAGATTTTTGCACAAAACATCAACAAAACCTCACTGACTAATTCAGAATAAGGGAGAAAAGCAGTCCCAAGTGATGAGGAGTTGGAATGTATGCAGGTAGTCCTCAACTTACAACAATTCATTTAGTGATCGTCCAAGTTACAACAGCACTGAAAAAAAGTGACTTATGACCATTTTTCCCACTTAGGACTATTGCAACATCGCCATGGTCAAGTGATCAAAATTCAGACACTTGGCAATTAGATCCTATTTGTGATGGTTGCAGTATCCTGGGGTCATGTGATCAGCTACTGTAACTTTATAACAAAGTCAATGGCAAAGCTAGAGTCACTTAACCATGTTACTGATTTAACAATTGCAATGATTCATTTACACCTGTTGCAGGAAGGATTGTAAAATGGGGCAAAACTCACTTAACAAATACTTCACTTAGCACATAAATGTTGGGTTCAGCTGTGGTTGTAACTCGAGGACTTTTCCTTCTGTCATGTCGAGACTGTGTTATCAAAATGTCGATTTAAACTATACTTTATACTGGATTAGAAACAAACATGAAAATAGGACCTAATATTCTTGGACAAAATATCACCTCACAAAGTGGGAAGAAAGATTCAACTGCCTTTTTACCTCACTTTTGTAGAAATTAGTGGATTGTTCCTGTCCTCCCACAAATTTGGCTCAACTTTAAAAAACAAACTACATTTGAATGGGCAATAGAAGTCATCTTATAAAGATTAGTTTACAAATAAGAAATTGATTTCCCAGCTTTCTATGCAGAAAGAATATCAAAAGACTTGCACTTCCAGATCCTGTTGAAACTACTCTCAGAATATCCCCACATTGCAGAAAAAAAGTAAAACTTGCCTGTGATGAAAAAAAAAACAACCTTTCAATTCAGTATGTTAAATTCTGCTCTATCTAGCTTAGTATATAGTCAAAACTCTTAAAAATTATAATGGATTTATTACAGTCAGATATTTTCTGAGAAAAATATCATCCGCACTTTTCCCACACCAGACATTGTGATTTTATAAGGGATGAATTTATATGCAATTATATTCTTAAAAGACCAGCTTAATCATAATATTATGCATTTAGCAGGATGCTAAAATCATGCTCACTTTGTTTACTGAATTTCTTGTTTGTGGTAAGAAAAAAAGAGAGAAATGGATGGAACATTTATTTAGTATTTTACTACTTGGTATTTTAAAATTGCTCTGGAAATTTATATTGTACATATTTCTATTTTCCTGTTCATATGTAGTGTCCTAGTCTAGTCTAGGATGATACGTAATACTATATTTTTTTTTATTTTGGAGCATCTAGAAGTATATGTGTTAATTAAGTTTATTGTCTTTTTTACCCATTTTATTTTATGATCTA